TTAGTTGTACTAAATTTACTAATACATTTATACTAAATTCCTAATTACACTTAATACAATAGCACTTCTTTCTAAAAAAAAAAAAACACAAGCATAATAATGAATTAGTGATTGTATTTGTGCCAAACGTGAAAATTTGACTACTTTAATCGTATTTATTTCATCATGTTAGGTTGTATTCAAATAATTTTTGTTTAATTGTTTTATAAGTTTCAATTGTAAAATTACAATTAATAATAATTTGGTGATATATTGATATTTTAATACTTGATTATTTGCTAAAATTTAACTATAATAAAATTAAATAACAAATTTTTATTAACGACGCCCCCGCGAAGGAAGCGGGGCGGGAGAACGGGGGGCGGGGAAGAGGTCGCCCGCCCCATTGCCATCCTTACTTATTATTCTCCCTCACTCTCTTCAGTACCTAATGTTTAGACAGCTTTTGTCTTTCAAGTTCTTCATATTTTTGTTTGTAAGTTCAAGGCATGAAATGCATATTTCTTTGAGGGTAAGCAGATTTCTTTGTCAGTGATTTGTAATCAGATTCCTAGGTCAAATCACATCGTTTTTATAGGCAAACTCTACCGTTGTAAGAACTTATTATTCCCCTTTGATCTCTTTAGTTCGTAATGTTTAGATAGCTTTTGTCTTTCGAGTTCTTCCTGTTTTTGTTTGCTAGTTTTTATGGAAGGCATGAAATGCATATTTCTTTGAGGGTAAGTAGATTCATTAGTCGGTGATTGATTTGTGATCAGATTCCTAGGTCAAATCACGTCGTTTTAATAGGCAAAGTCTACCATTGTAAGAACTTATTATTCCCCCTTGCTCTCTTCAATCCGTAATGTTTAGATAGCTTTTGTCTTTCCAGTTCTTCCTGCTTTTGTTTGCTAGTTTCTATGGAAGGCACAAAATGCATATTTCTTTGAGGGTAAGCAGATTTCTTTGTTGGTGATTTGTGATAGATTTTTAGTTCAGTTTTTAATTGTTTTTTGCTTCAATTTAAGGGCTTAAGTTACAATTTCTCTTCTTGGCCTCATTTTTTTGCGAAGTATCTCTATTTTATCTGGATCTATTAAGTTATTGAATTGCTAAATACTAAATATAATACATTTGAATATATTTTATATTAAGTGATAAATGAATAGTTCATCATTTATTTTTGAGAATAAATATTGTCTAAGAGATTCAGTGCCACTTAATTAATTCAGATGTTCGATTTTTGATTATCAAACAGTCTGAACATATTAAGATCTAAATTCATTAAATTTAAGTATTGAATTGAGTTATCAAATAACAAATCTGATTGACAATATTGAAAACTAAAGCTCTGTTTGATAACCTAATTCAGCACTTAAATTTAATGAATTCAAATCTTAATATGTTAAAACGCATTTGATAACAAAAAATTGAACATTTAAATTAATTAAGTGCTACTGAATTTTTGAGACAAAATTTGCTCCCAAAAACTGTGATACACATTTAAATGTATTTGATTTAATAATTAATAATTTAATAAATTAATGAATTTATACTTCAAATTTCAGATTTCACATTTCAGTATTCAAATTTTTTAATTTTATCCAGCGCATCCTAAGATTGATTCAGAACCTTCGTCTATCGGCAAGGGATAACCATTTTTTTTCCTTTTCTTTGTTTGTCAGTTTCCTGTTTACGGAAAAAAAGCTAACTAAAACGTATCCCAGTGGATTGGTATTCTAATTTTGATTTTTCAAAGAAGCAAACTTCAAAATTAACCACAACTCCATGGTTATAGGAAATAAACTTCAAATTAAACCGTAATTGCTTACTAACAAACCCTCCTTACAAAGTAATTGATATACATGACGAGACTGCATCATGATTGACATTACAGGATTGAGGCAATATCAAATCATATCACTAAGAATGGTATACAAAACGAGATTATATTATCTGCCAAGGAAGTTATTAAAAAAAATCCTCAGCATGTATGATAAGGATGATCGCTATAACTGTGGAAAACCTCTAGGGAGGAAAAATCTGTTCCAATTTCCAAGCTCTCTGTTGCACCATTCCCATTGTACTGATCAGCATACTAGCTAAGTGATATCCATCTCTTCTTTTTCTTTTTGTTTTTTCCCCTTATAACAGGTGAATAATAAATAGAAAACAGAGTAAAGAAAAGTGCCCGACATAGAATTCTCCTTCAGATTACGTTTCGTGAAATCATTTAATTTCAGGTCTCGCAAACGAACGAAAGGAGGTGGAATTTCATTTTTTTTTATGAGGGCCGATCCCTGAGATTTGATAAAGAAAGGTGCATTAGCGGTTAATACGTACTTACTCCTAATAAATTATTCATGAAACAAGATGCGCATCTCCCTCAAGCAATTTTTATTGTTCAAATTACACTCAAGTAAAAATGCCGTCCAGTTTGGTCAGTGCCATTCTCATTTATTGTACCCAACAAATAAAAAAAGGTCTTATTCTGATGGTGGAAAGTAGTCAGGTCACATGCACCTTGATTTTGATGCTGCAATAATTGTCAACTAGAGATTTTTTTTTTCCAGAAATTCTACCACCCTTTTTTAATACTATACTCATGATTGTAATATAATAGTAACCCTTATCAAATTATTCAATAATTTAAATTTTTAAAATGATTTAAAAGATAATAATATTTCATTTTTTAACATATCCAATGATAAACTAATACTCGTTAATACTACCCTTTATTTTGATACGAGTACATTACCTACTTAATTCCTATATCTAAAAATATTCATCCCCCCTTATTCTATAAATACTCGGAAAGAATTCAAATTTTTCATACTGTGACATCTAATTTCACCAAATAATAATGGGTAGCATGATAATGAGACCTCCAATCTTCTTTAACCAGTAGTTCTCGATGCATATGTATAACTCCCATTTGAATGTTATTGATATATTTTTAACGTTTACAAAAAAAAAAAAAAACTTGGAAAATGTAGAAGGAAATCCTGAATTAACAATGGTGCACTCATGTCGCGTGCGTTCGAATGATAACAGGGAAGTTCTTGGCGTCGATTGTTTTCTGAACCTCACCACACGAAAGTTCGTCCCACCTAAGAAAGCAACAATTACTCACCACTACTACAATTTAACGTGCTTCCCATCTTCTTGCTCTTCTAATCTAATTTTCTTGTCCACAATTAGAAAATGCACTCCTAGCAAATGAGAGAAGGAAAAAAAAAAATAAGAAAAGAAGAAAGGAAGCAAGACAGAGTATTAATCTGATGCAGGAAATACATCAGTCCTGTGATGAATTTTAGAGCAAGATGATAACTGGACTGCACCAAACTCATTACCAACGATCATGTATCGAGCAGTTCAGCATCAAGAAAAGGTATATATAGAACAAAAGAATCAGATTAAATTTAGGGTTGAAAATTTTATTAGATGTTGCTAATTAGCCGGTAGGTAGCAGCACTCACGAGGCCCCTCCATTTTGAAGCATATATGGGAAGACTAACATATGGGGCTGAAAATTACTTTAATTTTGGGCTGAGATTTCCATTAAATCTTGCTAATTGCTCTGTGGGTTTCAACACTGGTAGCGGAAAACGGAGCCAGAGGTTAAACTTTGGGAGGCAAGATTAATAAAGATGTGAATTTAAGAAGACACCTTTATGTATTTTAAAAACTTTAGGGGATAAACTCTAATGTTTACATCGAGAATTTTTAACGGGATGTTGAAAGATTCAAAAAAACTTTTGGGGGGAGGTGGGCAAAATATAATATCTATTAGAATATCAGTAAAATTTTTGTATTATTTTAAATTGCTGCAAAATAATTTTTGGAATCTTTGGGAGGCCCTCTCCGCCCTCCATTCGTCAATCAGGGAGCAGCAGCTCAACAAAAAGAAAGAAAGCAAAAAAAAAAAAAAAAAAAAAAAAGTAGCAGCACCCTGCATGAATCCCGTCCCCTTTGAAATTGTTTTCAATAATTGCTCAAGCGATTACTGTTTAAGACTTGAAAAAATTACTACTTAAGATAACATTTGTAGCAATTTTCAGGTTCGAGGTAATTACTGAGTATGCATGATTGGATCTTGAATTTCTGGGAATCATGCTATTTACCTATGTTGGACAAAGTTGGGAAGATGAACATTATGATGATAAAGAATAAAGAGAACAAAAAAGGGGAGATAGAAAGGTGAGGTGACAGCTAAACATGTTTGGACTACGTATTATTTACACGCGCTAATTTACTTGTTTCATCAACACATTTTTTAATTACCTTTTTATTTCATATATATATATCATATAAAAAAAGTGACAACTCAACTCCTTCTTCTTACTCTTTTTATATATATATATATATATATATTTGTTATTGGTTTCGGGAGTTTGAGAGAAAAGATGAGCAAGGATTATGAATACTTAAAATCTACAAGTTCACTTCCCGACTTAAAAATCTTTTAAATTTTCTCTCTAAAAGAAAATCTATTATTATTCCCAAGTAGAAAGGTGACAAGGATGGCATTTTGACTATGCCTTGGTTGGATTGCCATTATTGTTTCTCCAAAATCTTTATATTTTCTGTGAACTTATTTTTTAATTACTTTTTTATCTCACATGAATTAAATCGCTATAGTAAATTTGTTTATAAAAATCTTAGAAAATAGCAATCAAATGGACACACAAGTAGCGATTTGATGTATGCAAATTTAAAAAAATATGATGATTAGAACGGGAAGGCGGTAGGTAGGAAATTTTCTTTTTTTCATTTTCGTTTTCCCCGTTACGTGAAAGAAGAAACTTTTACCATTTTGTTGAAAACTTTCCATAAGGAAGATTAACGGTAGGCATTAGTCACTCTCCATGCTTGTCAAAACATAAATTAAAAAAGAAAAAGAAAGACTTTCTAAACAACTCAAATGTGGTATGGAAACAAAGAAGTTTCAACGATGCATGCACCCGACACGTTTGTATTTCGGGCCATTTCTCCTATAAAATCCCCTTCTTCGTAATACTCAAGTAGAAGCTCAATTTTCAGCTTTCCTAGAGAACCATCGTTCGCTCTTCTCTCAAACTCCAGTTTGATCAGCAACCAACTGGCAGCCTCAGAGAGAGAGAGAGAGAGAGAGATTTACACACACAATACACACTGAGAAATGGTGTCATATGGTGTTCTCCCTAGGGCCAATTTCCTCCCGTTGCTCTATCCCCAAGATGGTCTTTCTTCTTCAAGCCTCTTACCTTCCACCATTCCTTGTATTCCCAGCAACAAGCGAAAGGTACCATTCCTTCCTCCCTCCCTCACACGCACGCGAGCGCACACACACAAATGTACGAGTGTTATATAGTGTACAGTGTGCTTGATAGCTTAAGTAAATCTTGGCACTTCCATTTTGCAGTTCTCTGGGGTAGTAGCTGTTCACCAGGAAAATGAAGCTAGTGATGAAAGCGATGTCCTAGTGAAGACGAGGCAGGATGGACAGCAGAAGAGAATCCTCAATTTCTCTGGGGCGAAGCCTAAGACTCCAATTCTGGATACCATTAATTACCCCGTTCACATGAAGAATCTTTCAGTTGAGGTGAGTTTGGTGATGGTTGTTAAACCCTTTTTTTTCTTTTTTGGGTAAAATACACCTTAGCCCCCCATGGTCTAGTAATTTTTCACCAACCTCCCTTTAGTTTCAAAAGCTATATATAACCCCTCATAATTTAGATTAAAGTGTCAAAATGATGGAAATGATCATTTATAACGGAACCCATGAAGAAGATATCGAAATTACCCTTGTTTAAAGGCTAAAATGGCTAAAGTCACCAAAATATATAAACATAATATGTATGGCACTCTAATCCCGTATAGTTTTATATTTTACTATATAACCCCTTATATTTTACCATATAACCCCTTATGTATAACTTTTGAAATTATGGGGAGTTATGTGAAAAATGCTAACCACAGGGGTGTAAATAAAGTGTTTTTTACCCTTTTTTTTGTGTGTACTGTATTATATATGATGATTTGCAACATAAGAAAAATTAAAGTACTAAATAGTAATAATATTGCTTCAGATAGTATATCAACTTTCACGCTTACTACCACTTCGCCAAATTCTCAGAAAAATAATAGGTCCAGGAGAAGAGTCCAAATCATGATTTTAAGAGAAAACTCAAAAGATTCCGAAAGCAAAATATGATAGTACAACACGTAAATTATGTCCTGAAGATAGCCCACAATTAATGTCTCTCTTTTTTTTTTTTGGTGGGGTGGGGCTCGATATCACATAAATCACGTTTTTCTCTATTTTCTGATTCCACATGCCGCAGTGGAATTTTCAACTTTTAAGTACGTTAGTTAATTTTTGTTCTCTAAGAATGACCCCCGCAATTAATTTTTGTTTTTATAATTATCTATACGCGTAGGAGCTTGAAAAATTAGCTGATGAACTCCGGGAAGAGATCGTGTATACGGTGTCCAAGATTGGTGGCCATCTTAGTGCAAGCCTGGGTGTTGCAGAACTTACCGTTGCACTTCACCATGTATTCAACACTCCTGACGACAAAATCATCTGGGATGTCGGTCACCAGGTCATTATATTACATTATTCACTATAATCCATTTTTTCTTTTAACTTTTTTACGCAAAATTTAAATATTTCATTACAGCAGATATGTGATTGAAATCTGAGTGGAAATACAAAAAAAATAATAATAATAATTTTGGGGTGATTTTGCAGACATACCCACACAAAATCTTGACGGGTAGGAGGTCAAGAATGCATACAATTCGACAGACCTTCGGACTTGCCGGATTTCCCAAAAGGGATGAAAGCGCGCATGATGCATTTGGGGCTGGCCATAGTTCAACAAGTATTTCAGCTGGCTTAGGTAAAACCCAAAAAAGAGAAAAAAAAAAAAAAAGGGTCCATTTTTCCTTCCGTCTTTAGTAGATACTGAACTTTTTTATCTTCCGAAGATCGTATCTAAGGAATAGACTAGACCTGTTGATAAGGAATAGACTTGCCAGTTTTGGATAGGAGATTATGTAGAAAATTTATAACAGTAAAACACCATAAAACACTTTTACATAAGGGTAGCCGTAAAAATTATATATATATCTTTGTACAATTAACGGTAAAGCTAAAGATAATAATATTGGTGACTGTGAGTGAAATGGCGGTCCACACTGATGGCCTTCGGTTTAGAGTAAAACTTGAAACTAATAATATGTTAGTGAAAGAATCTCCAATATGTGGAGTTTGATCAAATGGCTCTTCCACATGGGACAGGGCCCGAGAGATGGGGCGAATGGTACGCTGCAGCCTGGTAAATGTCTGCCTCAGCGTGCTTGACATACTCTAGATCACAGCATCTATGAACAGACATAGATAGATTTTTGTGTATATAACAAACCCAAGCATTATTAAATTTAGTTGAGTTGCATACAAGGTTGACTGAACCGGAAAAGTTTAGATACAAGCCAACGGACTATTCCGCATTGGCCACCATTGTAGTCTATTAAGATTTGGTGACGTGGCAGGTTAAGGGTTCAAACCCTATTTTCTATCATTATATCACTCTACGTGACTTTTTCAAAATTTATACCGGTGGATCCATCTGGTCCGATAATGGTTCCTCGTTGGTTCCCCAATTGATTCAATTGGACCTCCCCTCCCCTTCCCTTAGTATAGGCTAGGATAAGAGAAGGGGTAGAAACGGGATAGAATAGATGTTGCTGTTTGATAAAAAGAAAAAAAGTTTAGATACAAGGATCTGTAAGAGAAATTTATACTTGATCTATCTGTTAATTGTCTCTTGTTGATAGGTGATTAATAAATACGTGTCATTGTAGACTCGTACATAGAAGAAATGACCAGCCATTAACTTACAAAGACTTTTTCTATTATTATGTGCCTTAAAAGCACAAAGTACACCAAAAAATAAAAAAGAAAAAAAAAAGAGGGTATGCCCATAATAAACTCTTATTATTATTATTTCTATCCCTTAATTTGCCTTTTGCATTGAGATTTTAATATTTTGGACATCTAAAGCAGCCGGTCCTACCTTTTTGTCCTGAACTTTTAGGGCGCATAATAGAAGAAATGGGAACTGTATCTATCTTTCCTAAACGCATTACTGTCATTTAATTGTCAAATATGGACCTTTCACTATCCCATTTGGGACCTGTGACTGTGAGTCTCGTGGTCCCTCCTAACTTATCAAAACTTGGCACGGGCAAAAGTTTTGTGAAGATTTGTATATCACTAGAAACGTCCTTACAATTATTATTGCAGTGATAAAACAAGGGAAATGTTAACCCCACTTTACTCCCCTTTTTTTTTTTTTTTTGTTAATCATACTTTCACTATTTGTTTTATCATATGGTTTAATGCATGAAAATTATATGATAAAAGCGACAATGAACGTACAATTAATAAAAAGTAGGGTGCAATTAACATTCTCTAATGATCGTAGACTGCCGGCCCACTTACCAGACACTGAATGGGTAGAGAATCACTACACGCCAAGGGGAACCTGAGCAGTTGGGCTCTGCTACTTTTAGGCCCAAGGCCAAGCTTGGCAGCACCTTTGACTTGGCCGCCAAAATCGATTGATTACAAGTCTTGTCTAAAATTGCTGTTGAATTATATGCAGGAATGGCCGTTGGAAGAGATCTGGTTGGGAAGGACAATCATGTAATATCAGTGATTGGAGATGGAGCCATGACAGCAGGACAGGCATACGAAGCAATGAACAATGCAGGCTTTCTTGATTCGAATCTCATTATAATCTTGAACGACAACAAACAAGTCTCCCTCCCCACAGCCACTCTTGATGGTCCTGCCCCTCCTGTTGGAGCTTTGAGCAAGGCCTTAACAAAGCTGCAATCAAGCAGAAAATTTCGCCAACTTCGCGAAGCAGCAAAAGTAAGTAGTAATTAATCAATTTCCTCAACCTCGCTGCTCTTGAATGGCACAAAAAGAAAAAAAAATAATTTATTCATTGAATTGTGATCATTTATAGGGGGTGACAAAGCAACTAGGCGGCAAAACTCATGAACTTGCAGCCAAAGTCGATAGTGCCGTTAGGGGAATGGTTAGTGGCTCAGGGGCCCCTCTATTTGAAGAATTGGGACTATATTACATTGGTCCAGTCGATGGCCACAATATGGAAGACCTTGTGTACATTTTCAAGAAGGTGAAGTCTATGCCTGCACCAGGACCGGTCCTTATTCACATCATAACAGAAAAAGGAAAAGGATACACTCCTGCAGAAGTAGCTGCAGATAAAATGCATGGTAATATGCACATTTTGTTTCATAATTTGCAAAAATTGCTTAAAAAGCATAGGGCTAATCAGTTCCTCCTTTTCTTTTCCCCCCTTCTGTGGTTTTCCTGCAGGAGTTGTGAAATTTGATCCTCAGACTGGAAAACAATTCAAGTCAAGTTCAAAGACAAAAGCATATACTACATACTTTGCGGAGTCTCTGGTAGCAGAAGCAGAGCAAGATGAAAAGATAGTAGCTATTCATGCCGCCATGGGAGGTGGTACCGGTCTCAATATATTCCAGAAACGCTTTCCTGAACGATGTTTTGATGTTGGGATCGCAGAGCAGCATGCTGTTACTTTTGCTGCTGGTTTAGCTACAGAAGGGCTCAAGCCCTTTTGTGCTATCTACTCATCTTTCCTGCAGAGGGGTTACGATCAGGTCAAATGGCCTAACCTCATTACTAGTTGCTAAAATGGAAAATGTGCACATTCAATAGAAATTCTAATACTGGAGATTGTGCAGGTGGTTCACGATGTAGACCTTCAAAAACTTCCTGTGAGGTTTGCTATGGATAGAGCTGGACTTGTAGGCGCAGACGGTCCGACACATTGTGGGGCATTTGACACCACTTATATGGCTTGTCTGCCTAATATGGTTGTCATGGCACCAGCGGATGAGGCTGAACTAATGCACATGATTGCAACTGCTGCAGTTATTGATGACAGGCCGAGTTGCTTTAGGTACCCAAGAGGAAATGGCATTGGTGCGGCACTTCCGCCCAATAACAAAGGAACTCCACTGGAGGTAGTTTGCAATATCTGAAACTTCTGAGATTCGTTTGTCATATATATGCACACGTGCATTTATTTTTGAATCCAATGCTAAAACAAATTTCAAAATCAGATTGGCAAGGGAAGGATATTGAGGGAAGGAACCAGGGTAGCCATTTTGGGTTATGGAACGATAGTGCAAAACTGTTTAGCTGCCGCTCAGGTTCTTCAAGCCGTTGGAGTATCAGCCACTGTTGCTGATGCGCGATTCTGCAAGCCTCTGGATGGAAAATTGATCCGAGAACTTGTTCAGGAGCATGAAGTCCTCCTCACTGTTGAAGAAGGATCTATTGGAGGATTTGGATCTCACGTCTCACACTTTTTGGGCTTGAACGGTTTACTAGATGGAAATCTAAAGGTAACTGTTTCGTTACACACTACCATTCAGGCATTTACCACCACTGTTTCCTTCTCCCAATCCCCGTGCACTGACTGATTTTGATCCAATAACCCTAGTTATGATCTAAAATAGATTTGTTGACTCATTTCTTCTTATTTTAGTGGAGGGCTATGATGCTTCCCGACAGATATATCGACCACGGGGCTCCAGCTGACCAGATTGAAGAAGCCGGGCTCACCCCAAAGCACATTGCAGCCACTGTTCTATCTCTAATTGGTGAGCACAAGGAGAGTCTGCACCTCATCGACATATAATCGGATAGATGTGCGCATGACACGGCTGATTTCAGACGAGAGGCCAAATCTGATTTACAATTTGTCGCCATTTCTTCAATTCTCGTGTGCTGTAAATAAAGAAATTGATGGGAATAGCGGATGCATGTGATGACAAGAGAGAACGATCGAACTTCTCCTGTACCTATCAAATGGATGCTGTGAAGTGCTTGCATTTCGAGAAATAATATACAGTCGAAATCAGATTGCATAAAACTAGCATATTGCCTTTCGTGGCTTCTTTAAAGCTTGGTACATAGTTTGAATGTAGATGAAGCTTTTAGTTTTCACAAGAAAGTGTAACCAAAAAAAATAATAATAATAATAATCATCATCATCATGATGCTTCAAAACGCGTCTAAACTCTGAAATCATAGCTCCCCAAGTCATGTCATTTGTACATCACCACAGACAAAAAGCTTGTTAAGTTAATTCGATGAATAATTCCATTGTTAGACAGACACTCAACTAATCCTTGCAGCTGTCACACTCCACACTTGAACTGGACAAATCAGAATTGTCTTGTGTTTTGGATGGGAACGTTGCACCTCCCGAGTACGAGGTAGCCACATCGAGTGTCGTCCAATTCTGAGGATATGGCGGTGAAAGAGGTGAAATTAGAACTATGACTGACGTCCAATAGCAGGAACACAGTTATATTGGGGGTGCAAAGTGTCACGCAGGCAATGGTTACTGCACCTTTCCATATGATAATCATCATTTTAGTAAAAGACCAACATTCTTTTTTAACTTTGTTTTTCCAAATTAGATAGGGTGCAGTAGTGCATTGCAGACCGTAAAGCTCCCAAATTTTCTGAAAAACCTGCTTCGCTTGAGAATCCAACACACCAACGCAATGAGTGCGTTTGGATAGAATTATTTGTTAAAAAATTATTTATTTACATCATAAAACACATCTTTCAATATATCTTTTTTTATTTTCTTAAATATTTTTTTTATCTCACGTGTATCGTATCTTTTTTTTTCTTTAGAAAAAAGAAATACTGCCCCAAATAATCTTCTGTTCAAAAACACCCCCAATTTTGTGTCCAAATTGGAGATCCCACAAAAGCAAGATGTGGAAATGTAGCGGTCGGCCACTGTTGAGGGCCAAGGCTACCATGCTTTTCTTGGACTATCACTCCGTGTCTTGTTCCCTCGGTGTTGAAGTTTTCTCAGACCAGGCCTAATAGTTCCATAGACTGATTTTATGACCGAGTGTAAAGTTGTAGCTTGTGGCAATGGGCAACGGGCCTTGACCAAAAGAATGCCACCACAAATCCACTTGGGTACAGCACTTCAAATTTCTTCCTACCGAGTCCTAGTGCGCTCCGCAACGGATTTTCTGTCCTATACACTGTGCCACTCTCTGTTCCACTTTTTATTATATTGCTATTTTTTCTTCACAAATATCATGTTTTAATTCTTGTTTATTTCCTTAAGATTCAATAACTATTAATTGAGTAATACACAAAATTTAACAGACTCAAAAAATCATAATGCATAAAAAATGAGATTTTTTTATGAATTTTCTGCTGTATTTTTTAATTTTCTATTATATATTAGTTTTTTTTTGAAACTGTTGTATTTATTTTTTACTCAATTAATAGTTATTGGATCATAAGAAAATAAAAAAGAATTGAAACATGATGTTTGTGAAGGAGAAATAACAATATAATAAAAAGTGGCACAGGGAGTGGCACAGGGTATGGGACAGAAGATCCGTTGTAGTCCTAGTGGCACTGAAAACATATCCGTATGGTTTTTAGACATATCAGTGTAAAATCTTTTTTTTAACACTAGTAGGCAAATTTAGATCATGCCACGTAAAATGAATTCAAATTTAATATTCAAGTTATGCAATGTGTCATACATTCATAACTGCTAGCATAAAAAAAAAAACTACATTATCAGTGCATAAAAAGTTAATTCAAAACATTTATTAGAACTGAAGTAGTGAACTAGTACAGGGGTTTAGTTGGAAATGATATTCATTTTTCGCAATTAAAATGGTCAAGTCTAAGAAGGAGGAGGCCCGAGAGTGTATTATTGAGTCTCATTTTTCAAACCCACCAGGAATGATCCATTTTATCCAAGAGGTAGACAAAGACGCGGCTTGCCTTTATTCATGAACTCCCTTCATGTCTTGGGGCCGTGAGACACATAGAAGTGAAGTCTGGACTGCCAAGCCCACCATAGAAGTGAAGTCTGGATTGCAGTTCAATCCAATAGCACAATTCATTTAGTTGTTCATATTGATTGTGCACCTTTGCGATCATGATTTTTTTGATAAATTAGTAATTTCCTCGTTACTCCTACTCCTCCTGTACTAACATATTTAAGGGAGGGCCGAATTGAACTTGTAGAAACTAGAGCAATGTTTTGATTAAAAAACAAGACTTATTTCTTTGCACATTAAGAATTCAAGGCTCGAATTCTAGATCCTCTCAATCTCTAATAGTTAGACATAAGATTCGAATTCTAAATCTGATGGCCACCGGAGTGAACCCCAATCCCAACGATTAACTCTGATATCTACTTAGTCTTTATTTACCGAAACAAAAAAAAAAAAACAATGCGAAAAATCTCGAAGCAATTTCCATACAAAAAATCTGGTGCAGGCACATGGCATCCTGCCACACATGTTGCGTACAGCATCACGATAACATATATAGTGAGAGTCCCCCAGGTCAGGTGAAATTCCAAACCTGCCCATCCTCTTCCACAGCCAAACAAACGAATCCATTTCCTAGTCCAAAAAACCACCACCACAACAGCATCAGATTGCATAGCATTTAGTGCATTGCAGTACATCGTCGACTCCCAACTCCCTGTTTTTCCTTTTCCTCTGCTTAACAGCAGTGTTTTGAAAACCGGACCGGTTCGACCGGTTGAACCGCGAACCGGCCATGGCTCCGGTCCGGTTCAATGCCAGGTTTGACTTTGTCAAGAAACCGGTCGGACCGCGAAACCGCTGAACCGGATTTGAACCGGTTATTTCCGGTTTTTGAGTTTTCCTTTTTTTTTTTTTTGCAAAATGTAGTTATCAAAATTCGAACTCAAGACCTTTGTAATAGAAGACTAATGTAGTAACCGTTGCACTATCACATCTTATTAGTTTTTTTTGATAACTTATTTATATAAAACAAACACTCATATTTCTTTTGTTCCATTTTTTTTACAAAATATCATCCTTTCATGACTCTTTCTTTTTAATCTTCAATACACACACACACACACACACACACACACTCTCTCTCTCTCTCTCTCTCTCTCTCTCTCTATCATCTTTTCTTTTCCCACTCATTTTTAATCAAACCTCTTTATTTTTAATTTATTGATGATTTCTTCCATATTTTAATTTGTTTTTGTCCATTAAATTTAAAAAAGTTAAAAAAGAATTATTTTTCTTTAACCCAATTTATTTAATACCACAACCACTCACTTTTATCTCATTTTTTGTTTCTTATCAAATTTGCATTTCTATTTTCAATTCTCTTGATTTTCTTCGAACTCCAAACTTTCTTTTTTAAATTGTAAATTTAAATTCCAAAATGTAAATTAAAATTTAAGTTCACAATGTCTAAATTCTCATAGACGTGAATTTTGTATAATTTCAAATATTGTGATATTTTTGGATTATATTTAAGATTTTTTTGGTAGATATAATTGAAATTGAGATGAAATTTATTTGTTTTAACTTATAATTTAAAAAATCCAAGTTATTCAAAAATAGTAAACTTTTCATCATATAAAGTATTAAATTATCCATTACATGTCTTATTTTGTGCACATATATATTTATATAAATTATTTTTTAAAAAATTCATTGAACCGAGGTTGAACCGGTCCGACCGATTGAATCTCGACCCTTTCACTTCACCGGTTCGATTAACGGTCCGGTTTTTAAAACATTGCTTAACAGTTTCCACTGGCCAATGAATACCCACAGATTTACGTGACCCGTGTCTTCGCTTTTCGGAGCAAAAGCCAAAAACCCACATTGAAGTCTGGTCCTGAGGGTACAACTGTCCTTTCATAACCCCCGTCAGCCCCACGCACCGAGTGACGTATATCAAAAATCAACCAAGAGGTGCATCGCATCATCAAATTTTTTTTTTTTTTTTTTTTTGGCAAAAATTTAGCTCACCGAATTCAGCAATGCTCTCGTCATTTTCAAGCAGTTGTGATTCTCATGAGCTGTCTTGGCTTCTCCATTTAGTTCATCGGCCTCTTCTAAAAAGTCTCATATTACTGCGTCCCAGAATGATGGTGGCCTCCTCTTGCATGAGATGGTCAGAGACGTATTAATCGGAATTATTGGATGGTCGGTCTTGTTTTCGCATATTCAAGGACTTGCCAACAGAAAAGGTAAAGGAATTTGAAACTTCTAGACTTTGAAGAACAGATGATGATAATGGCCAATTCACCCTGCCCACTGGGCCACTCCAACTCGCAAGATTGGCTGGAGTACTATATATATGTTGCTTCCTATTTGACCATGAGAATTAAGAATAATATCGTTGCAGTTGAATTTAATTGAACCCACATTTCCATGTTGGGTTTTTGAAGCGAAATTGCTGTTAATCATACATCCTATGAGAATAGCCAGTCTTTTTCATGCAACTGAATAATTGAAATACTCCACTACGTACTGTTGATCTTGATTGGAATCTTGTCTTGCAAATTGAAATCAATGATGGAGATGAACGGGGAAAGAGGGAGGTAGTGTCTAGAATGAGCTTAATCTGGGCTACCCAATCCATGCACCCCAAAGGTGGCACTGTCAAGCTAGTTGCTGTCGTGCTTCGATTCGCTGTTGCTCTAAAGAAAATGATGCTTAATGACGACTGGGAAGAGCACTTACGTGCAGCTTAATTCTTAATTAACAACTGAGCTCTCAGCATTACAAGTTCCCCACCAATCAATCAAGTCTACAGTGAAGTCTCACATTACTTGGAAATGGTTTTAGCATGGAATCTTTTGCTTGCTAAGACCTCGTGTCGAAAGATTTTGCTCAAGGAACAAGCAAGCCCTCTAAGCCAAAGGCAAATTATAATCTTAATGCGATTGCCCTAAAGGATTACTAGTATGTTTCATTTGAATGAAAATCGCCGAGTCTTATGACAATATTTAATCAGTTAGAATCCACATTTGAAGGTGAAGAAGGGTCAGAGCTGAGAAATTCGCCTGGCATGACTGCCCAAGTTTAAATTGTTCCATTTTCTAATCCCCCAAGCAGTGTAGTCAGAAGATGATGTCCTTGAATAAAAAAGGATACTACCAAAAGTAAGTTTGAATATAAAACAATACACTTGCCGTCCATGCCAGGAAATCTTGTCTCTAA